TGAACAGTCCTGGTTCTGATGATGGATGCCATTCCAACCTGCACCCGGAGAGAAGAGCCCCTTCCACTGAACCTTACCCTATGTGGAACCAAGATGGCTACCCCTTGCGCAGCTTTACTCCACCTTACCAGAGACAACATGAAAGCACAGACAGTGGTCAGCCAGATGACAGGTGTTTGCAATCATTAGACCCTGTGAATGTTGCGTTTCTTAAATTAAGGAATTCCCTCATATTCTGATTAAAATCCTGAAAACTGTCTCACATAGCAGTGTTACTGAGTGTAACTATACAGGTCTTTCATGACCAGCTTTTGACCGTTTTTGTCATTCTTCACCTTTTTCTATTCCCCCCCCAACAGAAGTGATATGGCCTGCTCTCAACAGGACTTGTATGAAGAGAGGGCCAATGAGTGCTTGACTTATGATGACGATCTCCCTCATCATGCTTACCAGAGCCGAGGCTCAGACAGAGAACACCATACCCAAGGCTTGCTGACCACTGCTCAGAACCACTCCCAGAATCATGCAGATAGTGAATACCTAAAAGAAGACTCTAGAGACAAACATTTGAAAGATGGTTCTACATTTCATGATGACATCCTAGATGGCTCCAAGGACAAATGGAAAAGAGATGGAGGCCAGAAACAAGACACAGGACTCAACAGTACCCAAAGCCAGTGGTCTGAACCCAGTTCTAGTTCCAGTAGTAGTGTCGGCCAGCCTTCCGAGAACAGTGGGCGCACTTTGACTCGCAGAACCGGGCCTATCAAGAAACCAGTTCTCAAAGCTCTCAAAGTGGAAGACAAAGAAAATGAGAAGCCTAAAGCTGAGCCTGAGGAGAAGCCTGTCCCATACCGTCTAGAGAAGGAAGTCCTTACTAATGTTTATGACTTGAAGAAAGATAACCAGCCTGCCAGCAACAGGCGTTCAGTCTCACCTGTTGTTGAGAAACAACCAGAAGAAAGGCAGCGTCCGTCACCAGTTCCAACCAAAACAGAAAGGCTTCTGAGCACACACAGTGACGACTCCCCAAAAGAGAGCACCTGGGACAGTGGCAAGGGCCATTCCCTCAGAGATAATCAAGAAAACCGGGAGCCCCAGGCACCACGACGTAATAACTGGATCTTCATCGATGAAGAACAGGCCTTTGGTGCAGTCAGGGGAACAGGTAGGGGCCGCAGCCGAGGATTTAGAGAATTCAGCTCCAGAGGTGGAACCCGTGGTGGTCGAAGTGGAGACAATCTCCGGGGGGCTTATAACAACAGTAACAGTAGTGGCACTCAGCGCACAGGCAGAGGCCGAGCACCACCTAGAGACCTTATCAAGGTGGAGGAGTTCCAGAGAGGCAAGCCACGGAGGCGAAATGTCAGTGAGACCTTGAGTGAAGCTTCTGAGTATGAAGAGCTACCCAAGAGGCGTCGGCAGAAGGGATCTGAAAATGGAGAAGGTTACACAGAATCTGGAGAAGTCCGTAAAGCTGACAGAGACTCTTGGAGATCCAATAAAGTTTATACAGATGACCAGACAGCCACTGATTCCAGAGAAAAGGCCAAGACCAGCAGGGGCTTTGGAGGTCGCATGCTGCCTCCAAGACTGAACACCACTGGAAGTTACAGTCGAAACTTTGGAGGCTCCAGGGACATTTCTACATGGCGAGGCCGTGGCCCCCAGTTTAGTAGCAGTGGTGGTGCTATTCAAGAAAATGGTTATGGTCCTGGAGCTGAGACATCTTACTCACGTAGACCACCTGTTGAACGTGAGACCCTCAAATACAGCCCAAAATTCACTGGCTCTTTCACTGAAAATGGCACAGAGGACCGTGAAGGAGAGTATTACTTTGACAATGACAACCCTGACAGGCAGATGTTAAGGAGACGGCGTCCACCCCGTCAAGACAAGCCTCCGCGCTTCCGTCGTCTGCAACAAGAACGTGAACCTTGCTCAAATCAATGGACGAGTGATGAGTACATAAATGGGGAATTTGCAAACCCCTGGCCTAGTCACTCCAAAGGTAGTGGGGAAGACAACTGGCCCAGTGGCCATTATTCTGGTGGACGTTCTAGCCAGCATGGCCAAGCTGAGGAATGGGAGACAGGATCGGACAACAGTGACTTTGGGGACTGGAGAGAGAAGCGAGGTGGAAGTGCAGTTGCATCTACACAGGGACATGTTGATATTCCCTCTGACTCTGGCCACAGTGAACCAGGTTCTGGTGAGAAGAGGGAACTTTCCAAGAGAAGCTTCTCCAGTCAGAGGCCATTGGTGGAACGGCAGAACAGGAAAGGAGAGTCATCACTGCTGGAAGTGAGCAAGATGGCACATACACCTGACCACCCCCCCACCTCCTCCTCTAACAGGAGTGACAGTTGGCAGAATGGAGGGACTTCTTGTAAGAGGTGAGGAACAGAACAAACTAAAAGTTGAAAGTCATTGTAGAGTATACTATCATATACCCAAAAGTACTTCTGCTGGGAATGCATCCTCACTATATGTTTGGGAATTAAAATGCCCTTGTGTCAGGTCTGGTTGTTACAGTTGCTTAGAAACCAGCACAGTGTGCCATCTTCATATATTGTTTTGACCTAAATACGCTCTGACATGCACCTTCCAGTGACAGGAATGAATAACAATTTATTGCTTGCATTTATTTGAATAAACAGTTCTATATTACAAATTTATTGAAGTGATTACTCTTTATAAAGAAACAAATTATGTTCAGCAAGATATGTCATTTTATCTGCACTGATTATATTGCCAATTGTTGTGATTTCTTTTGTTTAAATGCTGTATTGTATAGTTAACATACCATTTTCTCCCAGGTGACTATGGTACTTGCAGTTTAGCTGTGGTTTCCTGGGTTCAGACCTGGAACATAGCCACTTGCAGTCTTACCCCTTTTTACCAGCAATTGTGTTTACTTGACCAAAATTGATCTAATTGGAAAATATGAAAGCTATGTTATTATTTAACTGCCAAATGTCCAATATGAGACTTCAGTTGACCACAGGATTGCCAGACATTTTTATTTTGGAATTTTGTTTTCTTTTAGATGTTCATTCCCTTTTTAAATACCCCTTTTTCTTTGCAGCAGGAGCCCTGATGAATCTGGCCCAATCTACAGCATAGAGCCGCCAGAGGAGAGGGAGCCCACTGAGCCCTCTGGGAAAAAATTGGACAAAGCACTGAAACCAGGATCTGTCAAGACGGACATAGCCGAACCTCTGTCCCAGTATGAACTCGGCGGCTACCCACGTGAGTCCTGTGTTTTGAATATAGATCCTTGGACAATTGGTGCTTCTACAGTTCTACATTTTACACTTGTTGGCACACCTGTTTTGTAGTTGAGGGGGATGCAGGGGGACCAGTTTCAAATCCAGATGGATACCAAAATGCCTTGTCCAAAAAGCAAAGACGTCCACAAGATGATGAGAGGAGGAGGAAGGAACAGGGAGCTGCTGTAAGTTAAACATATTTTGAATCTATATGCTAAGTAATCATGCCAAGAATGAACAAAAGGTGTAACTGGAGCTTTTTCTCATTACTGACCATGTTAGGTGCCAGTGAAGAACAGGCCAATTGCATCTAAGATGCCGCCACGCTTTGCCAAAAAGCAGGGAAGCATGAGCATTGAACAACCTGAAGAGGTGCTTTCTTCCAACAACTTAGGAACTGAAATCTGGGAGACCAACAGTTCAGGTAGTAGACAGACCCAACTTTCTGTCAAGGCTTTGCTCTTGATGCTTTTGCTGGTGTAAGCAGAAACTGTAGAGACACAGTGAAATTGCTTGTACAGCATATTAAATCTATATTATTGATTTGATTTGATTTATTCTTTCAAACATGTAACAGTCAATATGTCAACACACATAATTCCACACATAAATTGCATTCTTAAATAATTCTCTTCTACACCACACAAGTAATATACTAAAGAATTATTACAGAGTGTTAACATTCATACACCACACCCACAATGTTCCATCTAATTAATCATTGAGCCTGTTCATGCATATATCTTGATTGACACATACCTTTATATTTATGTTTAAACTCGTCAATTCTATTATTATTTTTTATGTCTACACTTAAATTATTCCATAGTTTTACCCCACTTATGGAAATACAGAATCTTTTTTTGGTTGTACGTATAGCATGAATTTTATAATTTAACTGACCCCTTAAATTGTATCCCCCTTCCCTTTCATTAAATAGTTTTTGAATTCCACCAGGTAATAAATTGTTCCTGGCTTTATACATAAACACAGCAGTCTTATATCCCACTAAATCAAAAAAGTTTAACAATTTAGATTTAATTTATTATTAATTGTATTAAACTGATTGACAAAGTTTGGACGATGACTGTTCATTATTTATTGGTGATGTGACAGTTTGTTTGGATTAGTACAATGTACAATTTAATTAGTTTGACATTAAAATTCCCAGAAGAGAAGCAAGGGAGGAATTAACTTGCATTATGATGTGCATTCCTAGTTTTTGTTTTCAAGACAGGAGTATGTTTGAGACATTTACTTATTTTGTAGGAAGATCTTTGTTGTGAAAGAATCTTTTGTCAAAAAAAGACATTGCTTGTAATCTTCACTAATGGCATTTATCTATCTTAAGCTCTTTCAGTACCATCTTCAGGTGGAGACTCGTGGACTAAACAGGTGTCTTATACTGGGAGTGAGCCCAACTCTGAGGTAGTACAATACTGTTGCACATTGAACCCTCCACATATGTGCATATATTCTGTATCTGCATTGTTTGTCTGCAGCTAAAACTGTCTTTTAATCTTTAAGTTTGCATTTTTCCCCTCTGCTTCATTGATGACAAATGAGTTGCAGCGATATTGGATTAATTTGAGAAACATGAAATAACAACTGCCTTGTATTCTTCTTCCAGGACTCAGATGCTGGTCCGGAGCAGAGTAAAGAACAGCACAAGCCAGGACCCATTGGAAATGAACGCTCCCTGAAGCACCGCAAGGGCTCAGAAGGTGTTGATCGGCTGGAAGGTGGCTCCATCACTCCAGTCAATGGTGTGGACCTCCACGTGGACGCTGTGCTGCCTGTGCCTCCTATTGAGTTTGGTGTCAGTGCCAAAGACTCTGACTTTAGTCTGCCACCAGGCTCCACCCCAGTTCCCGTGTCCAATCCTGTTAACAAGCTTCAGGACGCACTTACCACCAATGTGAGTGTTTTTTCTTTTTTCTCTACACATTTTTGGTGTCTTGAAATTTAAACAACTAGAGTTGATTTGAATGCATCAAGGTTAACTGTAGCCACAATCATTGATAGAATGCTACAAGGGCATTTCAGTAATGGAATAGTGTCTAGGTTTTCACTTGGAACTTTTGTTTCTAAACAGTCGGCTCTCAATCAGAGTATCCCCATGCTACGTTCCAACCACCTGCAGCCTGGCATTAACCTCAACCCCATCTCCTTCCCCAGTGCTGACCTTACTCTTAAGGTAACAATTACAATCCCATGTATAGAGCACTATATCTTCATATACATGTAACATTAAATAACCAGTGTCTGTCTGTGCAGCCCTATTTTGTATGGTGAAAGATATAATTGGAATATAGAGGCAAAACTGATGTCATGAACTGACTGTTATACAGACAAGCATATTAATTTTAAATGTTTGTTTTTCATCAGATGGAATCGGCACGCAAGGCATGGGAGAACTCCCAGTCCCTCCCTGAGCAGGGCTCTCCTGGCGGAGGTGCTTCAGGTGCTCAGCCTCCCTGCAGTGTTGGCTCATCCAGTGGGGTCAGCTACAGTTCTTTTGGAGGTGTTTCCATGCCTCCAATGCCTGTGGCATCAGTTGCACCTTCCATGTCCATGCAAGGTAAAACTGCATTTCATTTTATTCATTTGATGAGGGCCTAATCTTTCAGGAGAACAAAACAAAAATCTTGTTTTTACCTGTTCAATCTGTAGGTAATCATATTCCCCCATTGTATCTGGATGGTCATGTCTTCCCAAGCCAACCACGCCTTGTACCTCCCACCATGACCCAGCAGCAGACCTACCAACAGGTAGACAAACAGTTAACACACACAGACAGGCTTGTTTATCAGTATAATTGTCATTATGTTACATTTGTTCATCCACACAGGCGGCTGCAGCCCAGCAGATACCCATCTCTTTACACACGTCTCTTCAGGCTCAGGCTCAGCTGGGACTTCGAGGAGGTCTACCTGTTTCTCAGTCCCAGGAAATGTTCAACTCTATTCCCCCCTTCAGGTATTGCCTCATCTATTTCTCAAGGAATTCCTTACTGATCCCATCAATTTGCTTCACGTTAGTCATGTTGTATGTTTCATGTATGGAGCACATAATGTATTTGAAACTCGTTTCAGTGTAGTATAATATGTTTTCCTGTGATTCATTCTATTGCCCTGCTTTGTGTTCCTGCTTTCAGGTCCCAGGTTTACATGCACCCCAACCTGTCACAACCCAGCCCCATGGTGCTGTCGGGAGGAGCCCCTCTCAAGGGGCCCTACTCAGCTTTCCCTGGCATGCAGCCCTCAGACATAGTCAAGTCACAGTCAGGCTCACACTACCAGCCTATGAATGGCAACCAGCAGTTAGTCTATGACAGCCAGATGAACCAGGGGCCTGGTATGGGTTCTTCCCAGTTAATGGACTCCCAGCTCATCCAGGTTGGTGAACTGGTGAAGTTCTGTTTCAGAACTAACAAGGTACTATGTTCTTTATGATGTGTGTTAGATTTTAGAGCAATTTCTTTTTAATGGCGGATACTATACTGTTCATATTAGCCTGGCGTTTATAAGCCTTCATAGTATAATCACACCATCACTGGACTTTTGCCTTACATGATAACAGTATTTCAATAAAATCCTTATTTTTACCAGGTGACCATGCCACTGCCTGGCTCTCAGCTGCGCTATGGCTCAGCTCAACAACATCTCATCCTCCCACAGTCCATCCAGCTACAGCAGGGGCAGAACCTGTCTGTCGGAGGCCCACGCAGAATGCTGCCACCTGGCTCCCAGCCGGCGGTCATGACTGGCAGCCGAGAGGTGTGACTTGCTTATCCTGTGTTACTCAACCAGCAACCTGTTCTGGTCACACATAAGTGCAGTAATGATAGTTAAAAACATTCTATCTCACAACAAAAAGTATAGACAAATCTGTATAATGCCGTTTATCTTTAATCTATAATAAAAAGCACTCCACAGTGCTTTATTTGTATTGATATCTTTCTCCTTGCCCTGTTCTTAGGGTTCCCAGATTGAAATGAAAGGGTTCCAGTTCACTGAGAAGCCCAACCACTCCCCAGGCATGTCCGGAGGGTCCTATAGGTGAGTGGAGAAAAGTTGTGCAAATAATACAGGTTATCTGTGTAGAACACTGGTATGCAGCTTTTCTCTGTCAACGGGTATGATGTAGTATTTCACAATGCACATTTGAAGTAATACCATCTTATTTTCTTTCTCCCTCTTCCTTATCAGGCCTGGGTCTGCCAGCCCCAGTGGGAAGCTTTCTTGTCCTGGGGGCCCCATTGGCCCTCTACCTACACATTTTACTCAACAGGTAATGCTTTTTCACACACTTTTGCTGAAAATATACTTTTAATGTTAATTAGGGCATTTTGAAAGTTGGGCCAATGGGAGAGGTGTTCCACCACCCAAGGCTGGTGAATGTGGTGCATCTGCTGACTCGTAAAGGCTTTTGTCAAAGTGCTCAAGACAGTCCAGGGTTCACATCTGAAATTGAAGACTCAGTAACATAAACGGTAAAACACACCACATAAGCATCATCCATCATTATGGACAGTTGACATGATGCAAAAACATGTTGATAGGATGGAATCGAAGAGACTTGTGGTTGAATTCAGGTGTTTTGGCCAAGTCTGACAATGCCCTAAGAGCTTCATTAGTAGCATACTAATATGTGTTTTCATTCTTTTTCCACCCCTCCTGTCCCCCTCCTCCCATGACCAACAGGTCCCACCTGCTCAAGGCAGCATGGTGATGCACATGCGGCCTACCACCACTGGCCCTTTCCCCACCCCCATCCAGAGACCCGTCATGCAGGTCAACAAGCCTGTCATCATCCGCTCCCCCTCTTACCCCAGTCCTGGCCGTGACCCTTCCCACTCTACCCCTCCCTCTGCCCCCGAGCCCCCCGTCAAAGGGTCAGAGGATGGCATGAAGGTGAGCCACCCACTGTAAATATAGGTAATTTAATTTAATCCATTTCTTTCTCTATTTGCATTATTTGTTTTATGCATCTTTTTAATGTGTGCCTTGAATGTTAAAGTTCTAGTTAACATAACCAGGAGGTCTTGAATACATTATTAGTGATGCAAGACTCATCTGAGATATTATTATTCTGTACTGTTGATAGTGATATTTGTGTATAAACTAAACTGTTCTGTATAATGAAAATGTTTCATAAATATAAATTATTTTAATTATACCACTTCTTTCTTGTGACAGTAATGGCTGATTAAAATCAAACAAATGTTTTAATTTTGGATAGTCTATTGCTGATAAATAATTTGGTGACATTAGTGCATGGTATAATTATGTGACGGAAAGCTAGTTGGGGGTTTATTGGTGTTTCTGTTGGACGTGGCCCACTAGAGTTTCATTTAGGCTTAAAATTGTCAGAGGTGAGAGTAAATCATTATTTTTGAAGAGCATTTTATGGTAAATAAAGTAGCATGCATGTAAGTATGGTGTCATGGGTAGCTATGAAGCTTCAGTGCCTCATGACACCAAAGAAAGAAAGAGACACCATTGTTAATAAAACTGAACCGATGTAATAAACAGTAGGTCACTGACAACTCTGTTTTCTTTAGAAAAACCATATATTAATCCTAATAGGCCCTGTGATGGCTAGAATTGTCTGAAAATATAGAGGGATGAAATCGCCAAAAGACATCTACATTTTTACCTAATAGCTCAAATCAGCCTTGGACTATTCAAACAAGTGTTGCTGCATAAAAGTATGGTTTGCCGAGCACTGCTGTGGGTCTTAGTAACCCTACCTTTGCTTTGTGCAGAATAAAACCATCAGAGAAGTGCGCAAGGCAGTGGGTGAGGGCAAGACACCACCTGGGGGCATGACCAGCAAACTCCAGGAGCCCCTGCCCTCTACGGGGCAAGCCAAACCAGCACGCACTGGAGCCATAAAACCCCAGGCTGTCAAAGTAGAGGAGGGCAAGGCATAAAAATGGACCTTAAAATCCTCATCATCACCCAGCCTGCCAACACAAAGCCCCATGACCAGTGTCTGAGCCTTCTCAGACTCATTTTATCCCAAGGCGCACCAAGGCAAGGGGCAAACATGGAAACATGATGAATCACCCCTCTTGGACTGTCAGAACTGGACACAGTTTCACACCACACATAGAGATATACATATATATAAATATATACATAGACACAGTCTTTAAAGCAGAGCTCTTCAAGGTCCTCTCTAATTTATTGTTGTCACTTTTAAGGGGAGAATGGTAAAGATAAAATATTTTTTGTTTCTCCTCAACGTGGATAAAAGGAAAATGTCCAGCTCAGACAGATGGTTCATTTTTCATGTCAATTTGCCAAACTGTATTTTACACCCTGTTTATGGACTGTAGCCCTTAAAGACCAGGCAGACACTTGAGTGGTTATGAAAAGCAAAGTCTGTCTATTTTGTTTTTGTTTTATTTTAACATATTTGAGATGAAATGGGGCACTTTGTCATTTTTCAGTGACATTTTTGCTGGTAAATAAAGGTTCAAATCATCATTACACATTCATCCTACTGGTAAAGGACTTGTTTTTTTCACCCAGAAAATTCTGAATTCCAAGTTATGGATACCATTGCATGTCAACATGGCAAAAGTCAAGCGTGTCAGCCTAGAATTGTTACTTCTTTGTGTAGCCCGGGAACTGTGGCGAAACTTAGATTGGTAGAAATGAATTCTTTTCTTAAGCCTTTGTTGTTTGCTTTTACCTTCTGTTGTTTGCTCTCTTCTGTATGTAAACTGAGACAAAATAGTCTATTTTACCAAAACCATGTTGCTTCCATGGGAACTTCACTGGCGTTGATAGCGTGTGCATGTGATATACTGAATGTGTGTAAACTTGCAGGACTCCTACTTAGAAGCTAGGAACATTTCACAAAGACTGTACCCCAACTCCTCGTTCATTATGCTGCCATCGACCATGCAGACTTTGATCAACCAAGCTGGCAGCAGTTTGGGGTTTATTGTAAAGTTTTGTGTGGGCTGGGGAGGGGGGGATGCATTCACAATTGCTATAAAGGACCCCAAAAATACCTGATTGAAATGTTTACTGTATCACTGTATTTGGGTGAATCAGATTGTTCAATTATGAACGTGATTTTTTTTTTTTTTTTAAATATATCCCTCAACCTGGGATGCTTTTTCTTTTACAACTCCTGAAAGACTTTGCTCTCTAATTCCGTTCAAAACCCACTCAACAGTACTGTGGGGGATTGTGAAGAAACGCTCATCACCGTTTAATTATTCAGCATCTGGTCTCTGAGGTGGCACTAGCAATAAATGCAGCCTAACTATAATCTAAATCAGGGTCCAAGCAGCTATCTTTTCCCCATTTAGAGGCTAATGATCACAAACCAGGGGTGTTTAGCAATGCGCTCTGAATTAAAATAAGATCTTTGCTTAAGCTTTTTTTGTGCACATGGCAGTTCCAGCAGAGTCCGAAGGACGTTTGAAGTGTTTGCTCTGTTGGAGAAATATGAAACGTCGGAAACATTTATTTTTTGTAATGGACACATCTTGAAGCTCTCTGTCATAACTGGTTAAATGTTACTGCTTACTGTAAGGCTCCATGACACTACAAAATGTTGCAATTTATCTTTGACAGTGTTTCACTGGTATATATATGTATATGCATACTTAACTGTACAGTCGAGCCTTGTCAGTGAGGGGAGGCTTAAACCCACATTTCATTTTAGATATTGTGGCACTATACAGGATTTCACATCGAGAAAGGTCACTGTGTTCTCAGAATGGACTGCTTTCACTTGTTAGGTTTATCGGGCTTGGAGTGACTTATGCCCTAACTGCAAAACATCTTGATGCTTCTTATTGTACCTGCACCAAAATGTTGCCCCGACTTTTTCTGTACTTTTAGGACGCATTTTTCATTTTGCCTGAGGACCAGTGCTTTCTACAGCTGATCAGCATTTTGTTTGCCCTAATTGATCTTTATCCTTTCAGATATTTGGTCATTACTCTCCCTTGTTACAAAACAAAACGAAACAAAAAAAGCTTATTGAAAGAAAAATAAAGCAGTTGTGGTTTCTTTAATGTATGGTTGATTCTGTATTCTCACTTTGTCATATTAAAATTGTATATGAAATTCTTGTGGAAGAAATGATTTTAGTCTTCAGATTGTTAGCTGAGGTTTGTGGGAAGTACAAGGTACTTTAAAATAAGCACGTCTCAGCAGAGTTGAATGGTTTTAGACTTTGAGACCAGTACAGTTTCCAAAAACACGGACCATTCTTTTTGTTTTTTGTTTTTTTTTAAAGTACTGAACTTGAAGCCAAAGACCAGCATTTCAGTAGATTCTCCCATAACAAAAACAGCTGATTTGCAAAGACACAGTTATGAAGTATAAAAACAAAACATTGTACTGTTTTTGTTTACACCATAAAATCATTGCAGAAATGTTTTTGAGGTGTGCTTGGTTATGAAATGAAGATGCCTGTACTACTTTGTTTATTATTTTTAAGCATTTTGTGCCAGTGTGCAAAATAGGGTTAAAATGAAAAGCCAGTTATTCAATATGTCAAATAAACTCCAAGTCCTCGACAGCTCACGTTTGTGCAGTTTAAAGGATTTTTCAGTTTGGTTGTACTGTTCATCCTTTTTCTAGACCAGTGGAGTTAGAAACTGTGATGCCCTCATGGTTCCAGAGATCAATCTGAGGGGGTCCCATGATTAATTATGACAAGATTATGGATATTTTTCTGGCATTTCTTTGTTTTATAATTCTGGAAAAGAAAAAAACAGATTCTGCTTTAACTGCTCTTAATTTATATCCATACTGAGGCTAGTTCAGGTTGGGAAAGCACAGTTTTATACATAGAACCCATTCTTTTGTATGATTTAAGAAACAATATTGTTTTGAAGGCGCAAAACATTGGTTATTATAATAAAGTACGGTTCGTATTACCTTTAAACGACATAAAAATTCGTCATTGTTTGGTCACTTTACATTTTTATTATGCAGTTTAGTCTGTCGCCTACAAAATAAAATGGCAATTACCGTAATACCACAATAATAAGGCACCTGGGAAAAGCAGGGTATGTGACGTCGAAAGTGTCAAATTCCGGAGATTTTTGCAGGACAAAGAGGAGGCTTGTCGGGACGAAGAAACTACTTCCTTAGGATCTGCAGATCCAGGAAATCCACCAGAAGATATCTACGCCAGATAAACGAGGTAAGTTTTACTCCAGTGTTGAACTTTCTGTCACTTCCGTTATAGTCAGAGGACAGAAAGTTGTACAGATAGTACGGTGTGTTGCTTTTAGCGTCGTTTTTCTTTGTTAGTTGGCTGTGCCACCGCTGGAGTAGCCTGTGATACGACCATGTGGCCCTCTAAGATAAAACATCTGGAGCCTCGTTTTGGTGGCTTTAATCCATTTAATATGGTGAATTTGTTATATAAGTCGCCCCAGAGAAAAAAAATAGGTCAACCATCTTACCTTATGACTTTCTTGTCCAGCTTGAGCTTTGTTTTTGTACTGCTGGTCCAAATAAAATGTACAGAGTTAACCATGGACATAACCTACATGCAGATTTAACAGTGCTGCTGTTCTCATTCAGTTTCAAACAATGCTGGCAAAAGCCTAATTTGTTGTTTAATTCTCCACATTCCCATCCATCAGAACTAACCACAGCAGTTCAAAATGTATTTTCCATGATTATTTAAGTGGTCAACATACTGGTAAGGTTATTTGAGATGGTAGGAAATGTGGACTGTGGCTGAGGTTTTTCACTGTTGAACAGAATAATTTTTATTTTTGTGTTACCCCAGATCTGTTGGTGTATTTTATATTTTGTCTTTTTTTTTCATTTCTTTTTCCAGTGGTTTGTTCCACTCAGAAAAATCCCTTTCAAGCTGTTTCTTACTCTAATGGTTGTGCTTAAGAGCCAGTGAAGAAATGCCAGACATCTGTAAAAAATATAGTAAATATCTTACATTATGTCCAACTCAAATAATTCCTTCTCTAAAAATGTGCCCATTAATTAAAAAAAAAGTTGAGAATATTAGGATTTTGTTTATTTTGACTATGCATTCAAACTTTTGATTAGCATCACTGTTAAACACAAATGGTTGCTTTTGTATTAAAGCAGCTAATTTAAACTGCTAGATGTTCTTGGTCAATGCATTCTTAATTATATCATGTCACAAGTCAGTATATTTAAGATTTCTTTAAATTACAGGTGCGTTGCTGTGACACAAGATGGCCACCAAGGGCGGTGTCAGGCCTGATGAAGGCCTGATGATGATGCAGGAGCTTGACGACCGCCTGAAAGAGCAGATTGACAAATTGGAGCATGTTCGCCTTGCTGCCGTTGAGCTGAAGGACAACTTGTCTGGGGTACATTAGGCAGGCAATAAAGTCCTACCTACCATAAATCTCCATCTGTAGCTGTTTAATCAAAATTAACTTTCATTGAGCGCTCTTCTATTTTGACAAATATTGTTTTCTAAAACAGAGCAACAGTGATCTAACCCAGGCCATCACTGACCATCTGGAATGGTTGAATCATTTGTCAGAGCGAGTGGAGACTCTTCACATGAACACAACTGTTTTTGTTCAGGTGAGAAACTGATATGAGTAATGCATACAACAGAAGGCAGTACACATCTTCTGTTGTTTGTAATCAGCACTGTGAATATCATGGTATGTTATACTCTGCACCAAGTGCAGAACACAGAAAGCTTTGTGGATTATTTATACTAACGTATAGTATAGTACAGTGAGATGTATTGAAATGGTGAAGTGGTGCACAGACAGCTAGGATTTCATATAAGTAACAAAGAGCAGGCCTCTGTTAAGAGAAATGCATATTTATAATAGGAACTAGCCATTACCTTTCAGAATATATGTTTCATTTTCCAGCAGATCCATAACTACAGTGCTGGCCACTAGCACTATAGGAGCACAGTACAGAGACAGTTTGTGTGGTGTAATTGTTTGCTAAACTGTGAATTTGTAATCATCAAGGGATGTCCAACAGCATTCATTCTATTTTGCACTGACTTTGAGTTAGCTGGCTGTTTGGATCACAGTTTTTTAAAATTAAAAAATGAATTCTGATTTTCTACTTGGGATCGTATCTCAGAAACACATCAGACTAAGTACAGTGGATTTGGTCTCTTTGCTAATTTTCTCATGTGTTTCCAGATGAATCCGAAGCCTCGCATGTGGGCACTGAAACAGGGTTCCAAACATGGCTACCAATGGGGACGTCGCCACCAGGCAGAGGATGCCCAGTCAGAGTTTGGCTGGTCCCCCATCCGTACAAGACGTAACAGTGATGCTGAAATGTCCTGTAACTGGTGACCTAGTAGATTGTGATTTAAATTATCACATAAGAGCACTGTTTAATGCAAAATATTGTACAGCTCACTGACTGAAAAATAAAGTCTTTTGCACATTTCATTTTTTACTGGTATATTTTCATGTCTTATCTGTTTTACATGTAATTTAATATGTTACATTGTTATACTGCAGTGTTGTGTTGCTGAACCTCCTTTATTTTAATAAAAGTATGGCTATCCAATCCTGTCCATGCTGTCATTCTATAAAGTGTGTGTGAATTTATGTTCTAACTTAATAAATATGGGAAAAAAACGTTTTTGCACATACAATACTCCTATGTACTCGGGTATATTTTCCAGTCATAATTTTCATATGACTTCCTATGTAGGCAAATTTTTTTTAAACCTGTACTTTGTAAATTTTTTAACCATGTTTTCAAAAACATCCGACATAAAAAACAAATATATTTATATTTTGTGACAACTAAAGTGGCAGACTGTTTTATTCTGATGCAATCAGGCCTCCTATTCCGCCACATGGTTGAAAACCTGCGGATGTGTACTCCACCAGCAGAGGGCGCTGTTGGATTTCCATTTTGTCACTGTTTATCACTTGTTGTAAATAAAGCTTTGGCAGAACGTGAGGGTGAGCATTCTGGATGGAGTGTCATATTTGCTAAAGGCAATACCATCTTCAGAGGATAGCTAATTTTGGACACACCAAGTCAAACCTATTTTTATATCTATATTTAGCATAACGGGTATCGAGTAAACTTCTGAAAACATGGCAGAAAGCGACTGGGATACCGTGACTGTGTTAAGGAAGAAGGGGCCGACTGCTGCCCAGGCCAAATCCAAGCAGGTTAGCATGATACCTAACTTTGTTTGTTGTTTTTTTTTTATTTGTTGCGACGCACATTCTTAACATTGCCATCCTATAAACTGGATAAAATGGGGCTTCAGGATTTAGTGAACAAACGAGTTTACAGCTAGTGCGTAATGCATTTAACTGTCCTGCAAACAACGCAAATGCTTCGTCGTTTAGGCTTGTTTAGCTAATAATATCAGTGGAGAGGAACTTTTGTCTCTTCGAGCAAACAACTTAAGTGTCTGTAACGTAGTTTCATAAAACCAAACTGTGCCGCTTGTTTTCCTTTTGCAAACAACTCACACTTGGGATACAGCGTAGCCCATGTTATGTTGGATACCCAAATTGCTACGTCAACCTAAGATACCTGAAAGCGTGTTTCTAAAATGTCAATATTTAGTTCGCTTAGGTTACAATTTCCTGGGTCAACCAAACCTAGCCCAGGGAAAGCTAACATTGCATCTAGCTAGTTAATATTTTACAGGGACCAATTTGCAACTAACTAGCATTAGCCACATACTTGGAAATTGTTACTTGGCTATAGTTAGCGCTTCAGAGCTAACTCTACGTTGTAGTTTTAATGTGTGTGAGTGGGTGTCCATATCAGATCTCTGGTAACAGCTGTCAAAGCACACATCTACTTCAACGTCTGCAGAATAACGTTACGTTTTGAAAGCTACTCTTTGCACATGTTCATGTCTTTGTTTTAGGCCATCACGACTGCTCAGAGGCGAGGGGAAGACGTTGAGACAACCAAGAAATGTAAATTTATGCTTTTTTTTTAATTGTTAAAGACTAAGTTTGTTTGTAGAGTAACTTGTATTATGATTATACTGTATTTGCATGTGTACCACCCCGTACAATGCCCCTTAACCCTTGTCCACTGCTTGACACACAGGGTCTGCAGGGCAGAACAAACAGCATCTTGTGACAAAGAACACTGCAAAACTGGACCGGGAGACAGAGGAGCTTCACCATGAAAGGGTTCCCTTGGAGGTGGGCAAGGTCATTCAGAAGGGCAGACAGGACAGTGGCCTAACCCAGAAAGACCTGGCCACTGTAAGTATACAGACTTCTCATATGTTCACATGCTCAACATAACGGGTGGTACGGTTGGAAGAGATCCTTTTGTCTGTTTCTGTGAAACATCCTTGATTACAGGTGTGAATGGAGTTTTGTGTGTGTGATATGTTGCTGCTTGGTGCTGCAGTGTGTGAGA